AGACACGTGATCGATAATATGGTCCGAGGGCAGCCCTTCGGTGGACGAGTTCCGTGTCGCGGACCATTCCGAACCGGGTTCGGCACCCTCCTCCCCTCCCCCCGCCCCGTACCGTGAGCACTTCTCCCGCCAGAGGGGTTAGACGTGGGATCGGTACCGATTTCCTCAAACCATCGTTGTCCAAGGCTGCGCGCCGACCAGCCAAGGTCTGGAATTGGACTTCCGCTTTGGACTGGCGCCCGCCACCAAATGTGGCTTTGTAAGTGGTTGGAAGCGATGCTGATGTAGCCCTGAGCTCACTGTTGCTCTGGCCCTGAGCTCACTGCTGCTGTGGCCCTGAGCTCACTGCTGCTGTGACCCTGGGCTCACTGCTGCTGTAGCTCTGAGCTCACTGCTTCCGTGGCCTGAGCTCACTGCTGCTGTGGCCATGAGTTCACTGCTGCGGCTGTGGCCCTGAGCTCACTGCTGCTGCTGTGGCCCTGAGCTCACTGCTGCTGTGGCCCTGAGATTACTGCTGTTGTAGCCCTGAGCTCACTGCTGCTGTGGCCCTGAGATCACTGTTGTTGTTACTCTGCCATCGTTACTACTGTTACGCAGTGATCATAACTGCCGTTCTTCTGTGATCGCCAAGGGTGCAGCCATTTCTCTGTGATCGCTACCGCTGTCGTAACCCCGAGATCATTGCTGGGGTTACTATGTAATCGCTACCGCTGTTGTACTTCTGAGATAACTACTACGGTTACTCGGGGATCGCCGCTGCTCAAACCTTGTAACACCCAAAGCCTTGAATGTGCTGCATCAGCTTGAAGAGAGGAAGGTTTATATAACATTGCGGTATAGGTCTGACCACCACGTGTGGTGCAGCTAGACTTGACACCAGTGTGTTAGCCTCTGAACTCGGTCGTGGAACGACGGAGACCTCGGACCTTATATGAGTAAAATAAACATAAATACCCCTTGAAACATTAGATCAGTTCTCCTGGCATCGGTGTTGGTATGACTCTGGAGCCTGCCTTTCATGACCCCGGAGACCGCCTGACCTACCGCTCCCGGAGTCTGGAGGAGAGGAGCCAAACTCTGGTCAGGAGGAGATGTGCCAGACCCTGGTCTGGAGGAGAGGAACCAGACTCTGGTCTGGAGGAGAGCTGCCAGACGCTGGTCTGAAGGAGAGGAGCCAGACGCTGGTCTGGAGGAGAGGAGCCAGACGCTGGTCTGGAGGAGAGGAGCCAGACGCTGGTCTGGAGGAGAGGAGCCAGACGCTGGTCTGGAGGAGAGGAGCCAGACTCTGGTCTGGAGGAGCAGAGCCAGACGCTGGTCTGAAGGAGAGGAGCCAGACTCTGGTCTGGAAGAGAGATGCCAGACGCTGGTCTGAAGGAGAGGAGCCAGACTCTGGTCTGGAAGAGAGGTGCCAGACGCTGGTCTGAAGGAGAGGAGCCAGACTCTGGTCTGGAAGAGAGGTGCCAGACTCTGGTCTGGAGGAGAGGAGCTGGACGCTGGTCTGGAGGAGAGGAGCCGGACGCTAGTCTGGAGGAGAGGGGCCAGACGGAACCATCGAGTCCAACTGACTGGGAAGGGTCAGCTGGCCACGCCCACTCAGAAGGCAAATTGACCAATGCAGACCATCCAACAGTGACGAAACGGAGCAGCTCAGTAGCGTGGCAGAAACAGCGGGCCTGAGAGAGCCTATTTCCAGTTCTCGTCACTGGCTGTTCTGCAAACACGCTGTCAGAATAGGCGTGGGAGTTCGTGAAGCTAACAAGCAGTCACGTACATAATTCATGAATAGCAAGGACGTATTCCAAGGCCGCTGGTACTTTTGTTCAAGGAGGTTCCGGGTATGCTATGCAGGTAGCCTATTGGGAAAACGGCTTATTGTTTTGCTCGAATGCTGTGATGTTAAGATCTAAGTGCCCTGAGAGGGATGGCAATCAACGGATGCGCACGGCGGCACCTGGCGAGCACAGCCTGCTCGCCGGCCCAAACCCGTACGCAGCGTCACAGATGCTAACTGGCAGCGGCCGGATCGGCTGAGAACGCTGCACCGAGCTGCGCAGCCGCCGGCTCGCGACAGAGCAGCCCGGCGGGAGCTCCGGCGGCAGGGAGTCAGGCGTCGACACCGTCTGCAGCCAAGCCGGAGGCAGCTGCTGGTGTGCGACTCACCGCCGGTGCTCGCCGCGGCCATGGAGCGTCTCGGGGGGAGCAGCTTCAGCCTGCGTAAAGTCAGCAGGCACGCGCGTCTCGGTGAGAGGCTAGACATAGCGCCGCTCTGCTCCTCCGTGTCAATACCTGCCACGGATGCGCACGGCCGCAGGCGCGCACTCTTCACATCGCGCTGTGTGGTGGGACCTGGCGGTCGGCTGCACCTCGGCCATTGTGCGGCGTATGTGTGGGCTCGTTACCGCTCCGGACGCCCCGCCGTGTACGGCCTATGTTTGCGTTCGCCACCGCTCCGAGAGCCTCACCGTAAATCCCGCCTCCTTTCCCGGCCCCGTAGGTTCTGGGTACCCTAACTGGCCTGCACGTGCGCTGAAAACGTGTCGCCCCCGTCCGACGCGTCACCCGCCCGAGAACAGGGACAGGAGCAGCAGCAGCAGTATGACCAGGAGCGGGAGCAGGAGCAGTGGCAGGAGCAGGAGCGGAAGCAGTAGTGGAAGCAGTAGTGCCGCGGGGGAGCCGTGTCGGGTCGTGACAGCGAGATTGGCTGAGAATGGACAGAGAGCCAGAGTCGTTCTCGGAGACCGCCTGGTGGCTTCATGCAAACGATGCAGATGTGAAGAGACTGCGCTGGCCACGGTGCCCCCGGAGCCCCCGGTGTGTATGTCTGCCCCAGACTGGTATTAACTTTCTTTGCCGGTCAGAGGCAGCAGGCGAGTCAATCATCACATGGCGTGAGAGCAGGACGGACCGTGGCGAGCATTGCAGCACGTTAAGCTTTCACCGCAAAATTAAGCCATTGATCCGAACTTTTGCGATTAGATTGTGTTGACATATGGGGATTCAGATGGTGTTAACAGAACACTCACAAAGAGCACTGCTTGAGTTCTGAGACCTGATCCAAGAAATCTTTCCAGGGAAAAGGCTCGGATTAAACGCTTTACAGCGGAGAAAGAGCATTTTAAGAGTGAGCGAACGAACAAAATTGCAAACGTGATGCGCGCAGACACGACCAAGCAAACGTGACATTTCTGACGACTGCATTATTCGACACTTGCACAACAGACAGCCTACAACCTGCAGATGGGCCTCCAACAGACAACCTACAACCTGCAGATGGGCCTCCAACAGACAACCTACAACCTGCAGATGGGCCTCCAACAGACAACTTACAACCTGCAGGCGGGCCTCCAACTGCCCAAGTCATCTGCTGTCGATGTATGGCCAATATGTGTTGACGCCTGTAGTAAAACGTATGCGCGTATGCATCCACAAACGCACACGAGACCAGCATCAGATCAGATAACATATCAGATGTGAGGAGTGCATTATACCTTAGCTGGATCCGTCAATGCAATACTGCGTGTACCATATACAGAATTATAAACATATACCAGCTGCCGTTTTAAGTCAAAGCGGCCACCGACGTCATGTCATCACCATTGGCTTCTCTTTACGCAGCCGGGTAGCGGGGAGCGGCGAAACCGATCCCAAGCGGCATCCGGAGACCGCTGATAAATGAGAAAAGGCAGAACAAATAACTTGGCACAAAATTGAGGCAAACGCCTGGTAACAAACCGTTCGCCACGGTGTCATCTCTGCAGGCGTCGCCTATATTAATCATATATATATATATATATATAAACATGTATATACCCATACATACATATATATATATATATATATATATATATATATATATATATATATATATTCACGTAATGCAGCTGAAATACTATTTGACCAAAGCTCCTGCTGTTCACTGATTGTGCATGTTGGGCGTGAACTTTGGTGTGGAACGATATTGCACAACTACACAGATCACCTTTCAAGTGGTCAAGTTCAAGACATTTTCAACATGTTACTTGGTCTTAGTAACGGTGTTTAGCGTGATCACATATAGATAACGTTATTTGGTCTTGGAATTGCAATTTCGCAAATTTTCCGACCTTTTCGCAAATTTTCCGACTTTGTTCAAAGGATTAAAGATGAGCAGAGCCGAAGGATAAATGGCTAGCCTATGCGGGTCCAACTGCATTCTAATAATAGTTGCAGTCTAATTGCATTCATTATCAAACAGTCAATCAACTGTTGGGATTCGTTTCGTGGCTCCAGTTCTAGCTGAGGTCATTTTAACAGCTTCAAGGGATGCCTCGTAACTCCCCCACACCCGACCCTTCCCCCAACCAATCACTTGAGTGCAAACAGCTCGGCCCGGCGAGGCGAGGCGCAATTCAACTATTCATCTGGAGCGCATGCACGCCTTATGAGCGCCACGACATGGCGTCATAGTCCGACAGCCCAGCTCAATAATTCACCTCCACACTTCTCGCCATGCGGCCGCGACATGGCGTCATAGTCCGACAGCCCAGCTCAATAATTCACCTCCACACTTCTCGCCATGCAGCCGCGACATGGCGTCATAGTCCGACAGCCCTACTCAATAATTCACCTCCACGCTTCTCGCCATGCAGCCGCGACATGGCGTCATAGTCCGACAGCCCAGCTCAATAATTCACCTCCACACTTCTCGCCATGCAGCCGCGACATGGCGTCATAGTCCGACAGCCCTGCTCAATAATTCACCTCCACGCTTCTCGCCATGCAGCCGCGACATGCGTCATAGTCCGACAGCCCTGCTCAATAATTCACCTCCACACTTCTCGCCATGCAGCCGCGACATGGCGTCATAGTCCGACAGCCCAGCTCAATAATTCACCTCCACACTTCTCGCCATGCAGCCGCGACATGGCGTCATAGTCCGACAGCCCAGCTCAATAATTCACCTTCACACTTCTCGCCATGCATCGCTGCATCACGCCGCCGGTCCGACGCCGTCACCTCACCTGCATGATGCGTGTGGCGTCGGCCGGCGCTGGCCCGCCTCCCAGCTGCAGGCGTGGCGTCCTCAGCACACCGCCGGTAGCGCACGGAGCTCCAGCCGGGCACGGCGCCGGCGAAACACTCCCGCGTGTCCGTGGAGCGCCGCCGCCACCGGCACACGGCGCCGACTGATGACGCTCAAGGCGGACAGGCTCATCTGCCGGAAGAGCGGCCTCTGCCGGCGGCGCCCGCCCCTCCCCCCTCCCCTCCCCTCCCGTCACCCCCGGTCCTCGACGCTGCGCCGCCTGGATCGGCACGGTTTTCCGATGGGTTGGAGCCTGACCTTGACTGGAGGCAAGTTTGAGGAAGAAAAGGAGGAGGAGGGGGAGGAAGCGGAATATGACCAGGAGGAGGGGTAGGAGTAGGAAAAGGAGGAGAGGGGAGGGAGAATGGGAGGAGGGGGAGGAGGAATACCAGGAGGAAGAGCGGGAGGAGGAGGGAACGTGGTAGGAGGTGACAAGCTATTTGCTCCGGCTGAGATGGCCTGCGGCTGGTGGCAGACGCCGCTCTAAAGATCGGGTGACGTCAGAGGGCAGGACAAACTCTGCCGAGCATTACTGCGCGCCAGCCAATCGGCGCGAAGTTGGCCGATGGCCCGGAGTTTTACGGTCAGCTGGTGAGCAGCCGGTACGCGCCACAAGCGCCGCACAGCTTTGGAACTGATCCCGGCAAGCCATCCAGTCTAGATGCTTGGAAACAATAGGAACAAAATTATGAAGCTGGAAAAGTGTGGATTGAACTAGATTATCTTTTTGATGTTTTGAAAATTGTATGCAATCCTTTTGAATGGATGTATTTCTGGGATCAGAGCTCACCCTAAACGGTGCTTGTTGTACGAACTCTGACCCCTACAACCCGATTGCGCAATTCTACGTCAACGGCAGAATTTGGAGGCGAGAAATTTACGTGCCGGCAATGGCGACACGGTCCGCCCCGCACTCTGACGCCTGCTGACCTTCATCGCGGCCGCTGCCATCGTCCGCCGGCCGTACCTGTCAAGGGCAGCGAGCGAGCGCCTACACCGACGCGGAGTCACCCCGCCACGGGGGTGAATCGGAAGACAGGCGCTCTAACCAACTGAACCATCGGGACGAGCATCGGGACGGACTTGATCTCAAGCCGGGTCAGGCCAGTTAACATGCACCCTCTCAAGCTGGGTCAGGCCAGTTAACCTGCATCCTCTCAAGCTGGGTCAGGCCAGTTAACCTGCACCCTCTCAAGCAGGGTCAGGACAGATAACCTGCACCCTCTCAAGCAGGGTCGGGCCAGTTAACCTGCATCCTCTCGAGCCGGGTCAGGCTAGTTCCGTAATTTTGCGTGACTTCATATTGTGTAGTCAATCACAATTGTTATCTAGCATTTGAGATCTACTGCAAATAGTTACCTACATGTAACTAGCAATTTACGTAGACGGAGCCTTGGGCATTGCCAAGTTACGTGAGTCATGCAAACTATATTGTGTCTTGCTAATTTTCCTCCTGCAGGCAAAGACGGCGCAGCATGAGAAGGGCTGAGGGAGAATCCCTCTACCGGTCGTTAGGAAAGGGAGAGCAAAAGTGTGCTTTATCCCACTTAGCATTTTTCGGAGGCTTCTTCTATCCTGAAAGAGAATATTCAAAATTTATATGGGGCTTTGAACTGAAATTCCTATATCGAAACCTTTTGGTGCAGTTTACAGCCCTGCCCTTATGACATAACACCCTCTAGCTTTTGAGCTACACACCTCCTGCAATGAGTATATTTTTTAGGGGAGGGTATTTTAAAGTCACGTTGGCATTCATAACGTCATGATACCGTCATTCGAATCCTGCCATTTCATAAGCCATGCGGCGATCAAGGCCGAAAAAAAATGGTCGAGTCGTTCCTATCTGGTGTTCGCAGGCACCATTCCCAGGTATAGAGACCGTCAACTGCCTCTCAATCAATGTTGTGCAAGGTGCGATGACGAGGACGCAGTCAGCCAGTGACGTATGGAGGGATGTGTTTACTGAACAGAGAGGTTGTGTTGGCTACAGCAGTCTTTTTCTATTTAAAGTATACCAATAGTCAAAAGTGAGCGTGTTTCATCATATCTGGTGCTTGTTTACATATCTTCAAATATGAAACGTTCCCTTCACGGCATTGTGGTTACCAGTTGGTTGAAGGGAATATCCAGCCTTGCTGGTACTTTCATTTATTATTAGATTAGATTGGTAAGATTCGATCAGCACTATACATTTTCCTTTCAAAAATTTGAATGGCTTTGAATTTCTATTTGAAGTAGCCGCTCCTGTGGGAGAAATCTCATTTGACTCCCTCCTCACCACTTTGAAAATAACACAGTTAATTTATCTTGTTTTTCCCAACGTATGTGTTCTGTCACGTTTGTAACCAACCAATGTGTCACATTGTTTGCGAAATAAATGCTACGAAAGCTTGGAACACCCTGTTAAGACAACACAAATTATGCGAACATTAAGTTGCTATCCCGCGGATTGAACGAATCGTTATGCTATGGCTTTGATCTGTCCTATATGGCTTTTTCCACCGAGTCCCTTTTCGAGGCACTCTTGGTGGTTGCGACTGCAGGGAAGAAGCTTAGTGCTGTTACAAAACGTTAATAGCGTAATTTGGACTTAAACATGGTTAAAGCCAATATCGCCATGCCTTGACGGTGCTGCAGTGGCACTACCCATAGCCATTATTAGGCGTAATCAGTCCTGAGGTTTCACTAAAACATGTTTTTGAAATATATCCAAAAGGTGGGGCTCTCCTTTTAACCAAATTCATGATTAGAGGGCTTCCATAACCAAGCTACAGAGTAATAAATCGGGCTGGAAGTAAATCGCGACACCATCAAGCGGCACGTTTTCTGTTTCATAAGGCCACCTTTAACGCGCATTCGGGTGGGTGGTGGTCGATTTGACCCCCGAAGATTCTTTTAAAATGATTTCCGAACAGCGCGTAGTGGCCACGCCAAATTTTGGATAGGTGTAGACGTCTAAATAGCGCGTTTGTTTGATGCCAAAAATGTGTACGTACGTGGTGAGATCGCTGATCAATGGCAGGCCAAAGTCAGGGCATGGATTTAGCGAAGACAGCCTGTAGGGAATCGTTCAATCTGTTGCAACAACGGAGTGTTGGACGAAGCCATACATGTCTTAGGTTCTTAGGCAGTGCAATTATTGAATGAACACATTCCATTGACATAGGGTCAGGTATGAAGGTTACATCCAGCCTGCTAGGTCACGCAACCTTTTTTCTGTAGAGCTTGCTTCACCTGATAGTTTCTGGTACTGATTTTGAGGTCATTGATAATAGGAACCGCATTATACATATTCCTTGGACTTTGTAAAGGTCAGAAAAGGTCACTGACCTAAAATTACCTTGTTCAACATCACTTAAATGCTGTTTTGCGTAATCTTTAGAGTTTGTTTAAATGCAAAAATCAAAGCTTGTATGTCTTGTCAAAGTCTTGTATGAGTTTAGTCACTGTGACTTTCAAAAGGTCGAACGAGGTCACTGAATTTAAGACTCCAATCTGGAGTTTGACCTCGCTCACTTGACCCGAAAGCTGTTACCTGGGAACCTCAAATTACGACACAACTGAGTCCACGTGCAGGCCAACACACTCTGTGAATGTATTGCCTGTAGCTCTCTTTCTTTCTGAGATCTCAGGGGACCAAATTAACCCGCCCCCGAGCAAAGGATATTCAACCTGCCGCCCGGACGCGTGTTAAGAATAATTTAAGGTAAGGAGGCGCATTTGCTGGCTCGGGAAGCCGTGTTACGAACTATGAGACTCACGTTCTGTGTTAGAAAGTACTCTCTACATTCAGGAGCCCCTATTTTTGGAACGGAAGGGTGTCAGCTGGCCGATTTCATGTATCAGACGGCCGCTGCTCCGGAGAAGAATGCTCGGTTACGCGATAGCCAGACTCCTTGTGTGAATTTAGCTCAAAATTAGATATAGCATTAAAATCTAATAGATTACTTAATTGCCGAGAGGGTGAGAGGAATATATATTGATACGGATCGTCTTTCAACACCGCAGTTTTCAATGCCACGCACACAACCAAAAACTCTCATTTATACAATGCCTTTGAACCAGTCTCAGGATAAATGTTGCTGCTAAGCAGCATAAAAGCAGGCACAGCGGCCCTAATTTATGGAACAGCCCAATCACATCGGCCCTAAACTATTGAACAGCCCAATCACAGCATCACTTTTATTCCACCCTCGGGGCTTGCCGGAGCCTCATGTTGAAACTCAAACCACGGTTAGAATTGCTTTCCTCGACCGTGAAAAAACGGCGAGGGATCTCGATGGCCAGGGCAGCTGCAGCTGCCATATGTTCATGAGCCCATGGCAGAAGTCGAACCGGTGGCAGGCAGCGCTGGGAGAGGACATCGAATATGCGAGCCTCCCCGAGACCATGTCCCCTTCTGAAAATCAGGTGTACGTTTCGAACCCCATCTTAATCGTTATCAAACTCTCCACCATACCTCAGGCATGCTCCAACCCTTGTGCGACATGTGTTGTCCAGTGGGCGCCTGTCGCCGTGCCCCAACACGTGCATTGCAATGGAATTTGTTAGTAGCTTCAGATTAGGCTGCTAGTTCTTTCTAAACAACATACTCGCCCTGATAGGAGGGGGAGGATAGGCGATTCGACCCTCCCCCTCCCCCACCTCTCTAAAGGCCTTTTGACGACACCAGTGCGGCATATTGTGTGGTCGTGTTTAAATCTTTGGCAGCCTCAGGGGCATCCATTACGTGAGTGTTGACACCAAAAACGCATTTCTGGTAATGACGGTTTTTACGAGCACTGCCAGACGACACACGGCCGGTGCGGGCGGCGGGGGGCGGGGGACGATTCCGTGGACCGCGCGCGGAGGGTTGCCACTGCTGCATTAACTACTAAACACTACACTGCATTAACCACTGAGTATTAAACATACATTGACACTGTTCTTAACGAAGCCCTGCATTGTAGATGGAGGCTTGAAGCAGGCAAAACGCTATACCATTGCACATATAATTTAACAAGAAACACACCCCTTTATGTTCCACAATTTACTGTTTTCCCAGCAAGGCTCCGCCTTTTTTTTGTTTCCCGAC